TATGTATGTATATATATAATCCATCCGATTCCACGTGAATTTCATGTAAACATTACCGTACTTCTGCCTTCAAAGTCTTAAATATGCCTGGTATTCCTTTTTAAAATTATTTTTTAGATGCCCAACACTCTCATTGTCTTCAGCATGCCTGATGCCAGCCCCAAAAGTCACTTACTTGTGATGCTCTCTTCATGTTTGCCTTATTTTCTGCTAATAGTTCAGTTCCGCTTCTTTGTAATTCCACACCTTGTACCTGTTCCTTAGTCTCAAAACAGCTTCCTGACTTTTTTATGACGCCAGCTGTGCTTTCTCCTTCTCCTTCATCACCTTCACTGATAAGAGACCCTGTGTCTGTTCAGTCCTGTCAGCACCGTCTCCCTAAACCAAGCAGTATAGTTGAGTATGTTCTGTTCCGCTGTGTGCTTTTATGTATTTATGTTTTTAGGCCGTCTGTTTAGATTTTTTTTCTTTTTTTAGTTTTTTTGGAGCACACTTTGAATTGGGAAAGATTTGTTATTGTGCACTTTGTAAAACATTTCCACGTTTTTTACTTGATTCGATGCAATCTGAGGGTGTGTTGCTCTAGAATTTTCTCTCGCTCTCACGTAGAGGCACAGAGCTAGAGAAATGTGACGTGTGTGGTTCGCCAGCACTGCGGCTGTGTCGCTGACTGGTGGTCAGGTACAGTGCGTTTCCCAGAACTTCAGATACGTACGTGACCAGCACTGTGTCATTATGCTCACCTGTTTTGTGTACTTGTTGGCTTCTTCCTTCTTGGATTCTTCAGAGCATTGGGGTTTCTAAACTGAGAGAAGTGCTCCACCAGAGGTGACAGTGGCAGGGTGACCTGTCTTGAGCAGTAACAGCTCCCCTGCTGCTGCGATGTGCAGGACACAGACATCAGTGTGGGGGAACACGCGGTGTCATGTTTTACCACGACACAGACACTTGGCCCTCTTCATGGCTGGCTCATTTTTCTCCTTACCTCGAAGACTTTAACATCTTCCTTTTTTCTCTCTAAATGTCTTCAAATGTTGTCAGTACATGGAAGGTAGTGTCAAGATACTGAACTGAGAAAGAGCTTACTCTGAACTAGAAATAGTTTTCACTTACAGATTAAGAAAGCAAATACTTTCATGACAACTAGCGATACATAAAAATTTCTTGTGCCATTATTCATAAAACTTGTCTGAAGCCTTTATGTACCACCTAGGACTCTCAGTTAAAGAACTAATGAATATGACATTTCTTTTGGAAGAGAGAAGAAGCTTCAGGTAGCCATAATAATTGGAAAAAGAAAAAGAAAATAGCAAAATGCAATTATAAGAAATTTTTTAGTACTCTGTGATTCTTAAGCACGGTTATCAGCTGAAGTAGAGCCGTCCCTATAATTCCTGCAGCTGTTAACAGTTTTCGTTTTGGTCGTTATTGTTGCTGATGCGATTTCTTTTAACCAGAACATTACTAGTGTGTTTTTCTCAAAACTAGTATCTGCTCCCCTTTTCTTTCATGTTTAAGGTGCCAGAGGGATTCCTTCTGTTGTTTCTCCCTACTGCGGGTATAGGACAAACTGTTAGCTAGGTTGTAACAGTGAATCACTGCTCTTATCAATTAAGAAGCAGTGTTATTTTGCTGGTTCAGGTAACTGTTGTCCTTACGAGGAAACTTGTGTTGAGCTTGGACTGAAGGACCAAAGATGTGTATCCATATTCCTAGTCCTTCTTAGAGAAGGAGCAGCTGGGGCTGGAGGACAGAGCTCAGGGTTAGGTGATGAAGGGCTTCACCTGAGCCTAAAGGGTCATGTGATGGGCAACTCTGGTCTCAGATTTGCTGTTTCTGAGGAGGTCGCCAGCCCCTGGCTAATTGTAAACCTTTCTTACTTGTGTAAATGTGGGTCTGCTTACTTGATTAAAAAATATCCGAAGAAGGAACGTCATTGTGTTGAAGCCACTACCCAGATCAACAAATAGAGCTTCTTTTCCTCATATACTGATCTTTCTAAAACAGTCTGCAGCAAAAAGTAGAAAGATGCCTTGAAGATGGAATCCGCCTTCCCATGTTAGACACAAAACAGCTTCAGAGTGAAAATGATGATCTCAGAGAACAGAACGTGGCAGCCGGCAAGGTGAGCGGGCTGCGGTGGTGAGCATGGCCAGCACACGGCTGTTTGTGCTTTACAGATTGGCTAATGTGTGATAGTGTGAGATTTTTAGTTTGAATGCTTTATCTCAAAATAAAATAGCAATTTAAGGAAATGTAAATGATTTAAATCTAAATAAAAGGCCAAACCAAAGCATATATTTTTTCCTAAATTATTCAGTCTCAAAAGTGTTCATAAATTGCATAAAGAAAAGTTTAACAAGAAAGACTTTTGCAATTTTATATATGTATATATGATCCAAATGACATTGCTATTTCAGTAATACTTGCTGTGAATACCTTTGTAATAAAATGATCCTTTTAAAATAAGTTTATAATCCCATATATTTTCCTTTATTTCTTGAAATATTGGTACTTCTAGAAAGCAAAGGGGGGAAATGAATTGATTCAAACTGACTTATTTTCTGTGTTTTAGATTATAAGCAGCCAGCAAGATGAAATTAACCGGCTGACTTTAGAACTTCAGGTAAGAAATATTTCGTCCTCATTTTCATTCAGTGACAAGCTGATTACTTCTCACACAACCTACAAGTATTAAAGCATACTTACATTTTTATGAAAACATTAATGGCACTTGAGGTGAAATCACAGAATCTTTAATAGTAATCTTTCAGTTTTTAGAAACAGTTACAGAAAGTTGCAAGGACTGTTTGCCGTGCTTCACAGGCACAGGTGTAGTCTGTCTTCACTGCTGAGCTCACTGCCTTCCGCGTAGGCCATCAGTGGTCACGTAGGAAGCGTGCGGGCTCTCGTCCCTCATTTCTGTCTCCACACAGATTTCCCTGTGGAAACAGGTTCACAGTCCTGCGCTGTCCACCTCGGCCTCCCTCCCTCCAGCAGATGTTCCCAGAGCTCCCCACTGAGGTGCTTCTCTGCGCTGTCACTTGACTACTGGAACCCTCCAGGCGCTGTGTCCCCTCACTGGTGTTCCATGCACGGGTCTGCCAACATCAGGACCTGTTACCACTCTGGCCTTTCTCCTAACTGGCTTTCTCTGTTTCCAGTCATGCTTTTCCTAAGCATATCTTGGCTCTCTGATGATGTTAAAATGATTAAGTTTAGAAACAGTCTGGTTCCTCTCTGTGATGTGTGGGTGAAAGCCCGAGCTCCTAAGTGTGTCACCCCATCGGGTCTTGCAGCTCCTCCCTAGCTCCCTGTAGGTATGTGTGCCGGTGCTTGGCCAAGGTCAGAGCCAAGTGTCCCAGAGCACTGCGCCTGCCCCTGCTCGGTCCCCCGACACACGTGCTTGGCCCTTGGGGTTCCACAGAAGCATTATTTTATCAAATCTGGGGAGAGCTGCTCTGCCCCGTTCAGTAGAGTTGCCACTCTTATTAACTCGGCTCCCCTCCAAACAATGCCACCTGTCACTCCTGTGTCGCCAGCCCATAACATGTGCATATTTATGTCTGTCCTTCTGAGTTTTCTCAGGAGTGGAAGTTCAGACCTTAGCAGAGAGCTTGATGCACAACACATCGCCCACAGTGTGGAAATGAAAGACTTCTGTTTTTTTATTTACTTGCCTGTTACTTACAGAGCCACTGCCCACCTGGCCTGCTGTAGGGTGTGTTGCAGAAAAGGGAAAGTCCTGCTGAAGATTCTTCATTATAAAAGTTACATATTTTCTTGATTGTACTGATTTTAGTAGCTTTTTTTTTTTGCAAATAATTTTATTTCCTTTGTAAATATAAATAAAATTCAAAATTATTTTAAACATAAAAGCTACAACTATAAAACTTCTAGAATAAATCTGAGGAGGGAAGAAAGCTCCACAACATTGGTGGTAGTAGTAATTTCTGGATTGACACCAAAAGTGCAAGAAACAAAAGCAAAATAAACATCTGAGAAATATTTAAATGTTTATTGAAGTGTAAATGAAAGTAGTAGCATTTTTGAGACATAATTCATGTAACATACTATTTACACATTTGAAAGTACCCAATTCAGTACTTTTTAATATATTTGCAGTACACTAAATCAAGGTGACAGTCACTTCTAGAATTTTGTTTTTATTGCCTCAGGAAGAACCTTGAAGCTTTTGTCTGTGAGCACTCATCTCTGCCTCGGCAGTAGGAATCACCACTCTCTCCTGTCCATAAACGTGCCTCTTCTGGACATTTCATGTGTGTGTCTGGGTCTGGGTTTGTCTTCCGTATTTCATTTCTGATGGCAGCTTTCTGTCAAATGGCACTAATTGCCTGCTGGTTTTCTCTCACGCCCAAGGCCTCGGCACTGAGCTACAGCCCGCCCTTTTTGATGCATGTTTTGAGACAAGTCTCACTACGTTGTCCAGGCTGAGCTCGAACTGATGATCCTTCTGCCTCAGCCACACTTGGTTTTAGCACACGCTTGACCCCAGCTATTTCCCAGACTAATCCATTCTGGTTCACTGCAGGGCTCCTTCCTTTAGGTAGCATCGGAGACTGGTTCTGAGTTTCAGAGTAGGTTCCCAGCTGTGTATTTGCTCTGGAAAAGTAGCCAGTATGCAGTTCATTCTGCAGCAGCAGGGACCTAGTAGTTACCTGCCGGCTGCCTTTGCCTTCAGGGTTTCGGAGGCTGCCCCTCGCTTCGGGCTTCTGCGTGCACACCTCGTGTGGAGTCACTTCCTTGCAGATGGCGCCAGGACTCCTGCTGTGTGGCCTGTGTCTCCTCGGGCAGAGGACAGGGCAGAGGGGAGCTGCCCAGCCATCTCTGCTCTGCAGGCTGGGGCTCCTCTGCTGGTCTCCCCAGCCCACTCTCCCCAGAACCTGCTGGAGCTCCTGCCTGTAAGCTGAGCACCCCAGAGAGAAGCCAGGCCCAGGTGGGGATCAGGAGGAGGAGGGAGCACTACCGTCTGTGCAGCATGGTCACTGAGACACAGCCCTGGCCACATCACCCAGAAGAATGCTTGCTGCTGGTCCTGGCCTGTTGTCTTGAGGCAGAGAGCAAGGGCAGAGACCGTGCTGCTGGCCGGGCCAGGGTTGTGAGAGGTAGCGTGGCATGGGTCATGTTGCACATTCCAAGGTCCGTGCTGGTTTTGTTTTATATGGGTTTTATTGAAAGTTTCCTTGGTTTCCTGGGTGCTTAGAGGGCCATTTCCAGAACCTTTGCTTTCTTTTGGAACCCTCACCAATTTGGGATGGGGCAGCTCTGCAGAGTCCCCAGGGCTTCTCTCTGCGTTTTTACAAGTATTTTCAAAGCCCTCGTCATCCTCAGTCCAGAGGAACACGGAAGGGGATTGAATGAATGTTTGCCCACACTGGGCCCAGGTGAGAGGACAGCTGGTGGCAGGGCTTGGGGAGCTGGTGATCCTGTGCACCTTGCAGAGCTCTGCTCTGCCGGTGCTCTTCCTTCTCCACACAGCAGAGCCAGGCCTCGCTGGGCCCTGAGGTCACCCCAGCTCCTGCCCTGGGCCTTGATGCTGGCTGCATAGAATAGAGTTGAATGGCCCAAGAGAGTGGCGGAAACGCATAGAAGCTCCCAGCTAGCTCCTGCCATGGCTCTGTGACAAATAACTTTACATAAAGTCTTTTCCTAGACCCAACAGACGTTTTTTAAACTGGAGCCTTGGAGCACTAGTCACTTCTCTAGAAAGCACCTCGTGTTTGCCTGGAATCTGAGGTTTGGTTTCCACAGTGGGTCCGTTTTCACAGATTGTACTACAGGAAATAATATCAGGGATGAAATATGAAATATTATATCTCCCAACCTGTTCACTCTATGACATGCTGAGTTCTTGTTCTCTAGAAATCGGAGAATGAGTCCTAGAAACAACAGAAGTTAAGAGTAGGAAGATACTGGGCTGGGGATTTAGCTCAGTGGTTCTGCTGCCTGCCTTGCAAGCGCAAGGACCTGAGTTTGATCCCTGGTACCAAAGAAAAAGTAGGAAGATATTGATGAGGACAGGGTGAAATCCACGTGGGTACAGCGTGGGCCACAGCCATGATCATCCAGTCAGGTTACAAGTGTGGTCACTTAGGCATTGGTGTCCATTTGGGAAACAGGTCACGTAACAAGCATGGATGGAAAGAACAAAGGTTCTCCCAGGGAGTAGGAGGCCAGAGGTCTCTGGTCACCACTGGGGTGATTGGTGTCTGTTTAGCCTTCATTAGGCCCTGGTTTGTCCTCTGAGGACGTGTGCGGGTCTGGTCAGCTTGTCCTTATCTTGAGGCCTGGTTTCCGCCTGTGTGTCGCTGGTGCAGCTGAGTTGTGTTTCACGTTTGTCCTGACTCTTGAGGGCTGCCTGTGGTATTTCTGCCACGCTCCTCTGTCTCGCAAATGGAGTGTGTGCCCTGTAGTCACCACATGCCTGGACGAAGCACCTGGCCCCTTTTACTTGGTGGGTTCCGTGCAGGATCAGGCCAAGGTCGGGCTCCACAGTGCCTTGCGCAGCACAAAATGCTCATAGAGCTGTGCTGGGTAACAGCACGGCCTGCACTGTGCAGAAGCATGAGGAGCGGGCCGCTTTCCACACACACCCAGCCCTCCAGCGCCATCAGGAGCTGTTTGTGGGCCTGTCAGGGCTGTTCTGCCGGAGGTGTGACCGGGCAGGTTGTGGCGTGGGCTCTCTGCTAGTGTGACAGAGACGAGCAGTTTGTGGTTTTTGCATAAATATTTGTTGGCTGGTAGAAGTCATTTAGGCTTATTGGTGTAAGCAAAAGAACCAACTAAATTTAGCCTAGTAGAACGTGCCGTGATAAAAACACACACTGCAGAACTTCTCTCGGTGATCTTACCCAGTTTCCTGGCTTTAACTCATCTGTATGTGCTCACCACTCCCTTATTTTTGTCTCGAACTCAAAATTCAAAATTATTCAAAAACCAGCACGAGCCTGGCATGGTAGTGCACACCTATAATCCCAGCACTCAGGAGGCTGAGGCAGGAGGATCACTGTGAGTTCAAGACCAGCCTGGGCTACATCGTAAGTTCCAGGTCAGTCTCAACTACATAGTGAGACCCTGTCTCAAAACAAACAAACAAACAAAAATAAACACACAGTAGGTTAGTAACTTAGTAGAATTTTAAAAAATGTTTACTAGGAATTTAAGAAAGACTGTGGACATTTGAAACTTAATTCAAAATTTTATTAATCCCCAACACATCCATTGAATCATAGCAGGTTGTTAATCTGAATTTCACAGAGCCCAATATTTATTTCAGAAAAGAATGTAGGTCATTTAATTTCTGGATAGTAGAATGCCACCATTTTGAGCAATTCACCCCTGCTTTTAAAATCTTAGATCCAAAAAATGCTTTGTAAAATTCTTTGTGAAATAACATGCATTATTTATTCTTTTTTTTTCTCATTGAGTTTATTGGTTCATTTTAGGTATGCAGCATTATTCATTCTTGATAGAACAAATAAACTGAAATATCTCTCGGGTTTTCTTTCTATATTGTACACACAAAATAACACTTGGTATTGATTAATATGTCAAAATAAATATATTGTACATTTGAATTTATAAATACTAATATCTATTTCAAAAGCTTATATGAATTTTAGGTAAAATACCAAAAAGGAATTACTTACTTAATACCTATTGTGAAAGACTGAATGATTTTTAAAAGAGAAAGATTTAAATAGTGTTGTTTACCACATGAGCTGTGCTTCCCTTTGGAGTTAGGTTTTGTTCTATTTTGTCTTAATTAGAGACCCTAAGAAAATTAGAAATTTTCTCCCTTTTTTCCCTGATCCCTCAAAAATACACTTTTTCATACAGTGTAAGATACAAAATGCCCCAGGTGGCATGCTGCTCTCAGACAGCTCTTAGCACTCATGCTCAGTACTCGCCAGGAGAGCGCACAGGGCCTGGGTTTCAGGGTGAGCACACCTGTGTGCGAGCTCCTGTCTGAGTTTATGTTCCGTGTCCTTGAGCCCAACCACGTGACTTGTGAAGCTCACCGTGGTTTCCCAGACCCATTTCTCCTCTTGACAAACGGCACTACTGTCATGCACTTGTGGCTGCTTCTCGTGGAGAGGACCACCTCATGGCTGGGCAGAAACATTATTAACTGTGTTACATTCAGCATGCCTCTGAATTGGGCATGATAGTGCAGCATTAGGAACACACTCTGTTAGATTTTCTGTTAGATTTTCGCTACTAAAATGTAAGTTTTAAACTAGCTTATCTTTGATGCTTCTACATAATTCTAATAAGCAGTCACAACCCTTGTCTTAGTTACTTTTCTCTTTGCTCAGACAAAATACTCATCTCCCATTGTCAAAGAGGAAAAGTTTATTTGGCTCACAGTTCATAGAGGTTTCAGCCCATAATCATCTGGCTCCAGGGCAGGGTAGCATGGCAGAGAGACGTTGTAGAGGAGAAACAGTCATGGAGAGCAAAGGTAACAAAACAACAGGGACGACCACAGCTCTTTCTGTCCCTTATATCTTATCCAGGCTACTTAGAGTGTGCAGCATTCACACCTTAATCCTAGTGCCTTGGTCCTAGTGTTGACCATGAACCAATTCCAGCGTTTAGATCTAGACACCACCTAGATCCAGCCACCTATGAAAAAGCCCCACCTATGACCACATGAGGCTTTGAGGGGACCTCCAAACCCAAGCTGTAACATTCCACCCTGGCCCCCCGGAGACACACACAAGTCCCTTTATGCAAAAGGCATTTATTCCATGTCTAAGAGTTGCAAAAATCCTAACAGTTTCAACATCGCTGAAAAGTCCAAGTCCAAAGTCTCCTCTGAGGTTTAAGACAAACTCTTAGGTCTGAGCCCCTGTACAAGTGAAAAGAAGTTAAACACTTCCAACATTCAATAGCACAACATAGACATTTCCATTCCAAAAGGTACAAAGAAGGGAATAGAAAGAAACGGGACCGAAGCAAGTCCAAAATCCAGAAGGGCAAAAACATTAATTCCTGTAGTTCCTTTCCAGCATCTGTGGTGTGATATGAGCTCCAAAGGGCTTAGTGACTCCGCCCCACGGCACTTCTGGTGATTGTAGCTTCCATGGCATTTTGGGGGGCTGGCTGTGCTCCCTCACAGTTTTTCATAGGTGATCCACACTCCTGGCTTCTCCAAACTTCTGGGGTCTCCACTGTGCCTCAGCTTCACACTCACAGCTTGACACACTGCCCTCTCAGGGGCGTCCTGCCTGGCTGCCTGGGCCTTCTGAAATCTGGGCAGAAGCCTTCCTGAAAACCAGCACCACGTGAATGATGCCAGGGTCTGCTGCCAGCCAAAGTAGTAGCCAGGTTTCCTTTTCTCCTGGCTGTAGGGAGTCCAGGGCTTATGAACCAAATCCCGAGGAACAATTTCCCTAGGCCACTGCTATTCTGGAACATGGTCCTCTGGGGCTCTCTTCTCAAAGCAAAGTCTTTCACTTTTGCAACTCTGAGGCTGCAAAGGCTGGAGTCCTGTTGGTTCTTGTGATGTCTACAGGTTATCTTTTCTGTTGTCTTTTGAAAAACTTGGCTTTTTCTGGCTAGTCTATTCAGTGACTAATTTCTCCTCTGTTCCATCTTTGCAGGATGTAACTTTACTGGAGCTTCCTTTCTGGCCAAACTCAAAACATTTTAAATCATTTTGCTGGACTCTTTGCTATTGATTCTCAACATAAATTTGGCTTTTTAAAAACCATGCCACTGCCTCAATATCGTTTCTTCTGCTGGATTAATTAACCCAACACCTGCATCTCAATCTCAGGCAGTCTCTGGATATGAACAAACTGCAGACAAACTTTCTGCCAAAGTATAGCACACATTATCTGGAATCCAGCAGCCAAAGTGGTCTTTCCCAGCAGAAACCTCCTGAGCCTGGCCTTTAGCAGCAGAATTTCTATCAGCATTCTGGTCTTCTGAGCTCTGACCAGAATCTCCCATCAAGTATAGCCTCAGACATTCCAGCTCTACTTTTTCAGGCAGCATCTCCACATCTTTGCTGACTTCTCCTTCTTATAAGTCAGCTCCAAAGGCTCTTGTACCACATGATCAGGTACAGTCGCTGCCATGACCCACTTCTCTGTCACCAAATTCTATCTTAGTCACTTTCTCATTGCTGAGACAAAATAACCATCACCCAAAGTTAAAGGAGGAAAGGTTGATTTAGCTCACAGTTTGTAGAGGATTCAGTCATAGCTGCCTCCAAGGCAGGGTGGTAGAGGAGAAACATGGTAGACAGAAGGTAGCAGAGTATCAAGGGATGACCACAGCTCTTTCTGTCCCTTAAATCTTATCCAGGCTACTTAGAGCGGACAGCACTCACACCTTAATCCTAGTGCCCTTGAGCCTAGCACTGCACCATGAGTCAATTCCAGCATCACACACTCCAGATCCAGCACCTCTGAAAACCCCCACTTGTGACTACAGCAGGTTTTGGGAGGACATCTAGACATAAGCTATACAGATCTTAAGAAACTTAAGGTTGAATTCTAGATTAAAGACAAATAATATGGTCAGGCCAGAAGTTATAAATATTCAGCTAAGTAAATAAATGTCCATATATCATTCCATGAAATGCAGTTAGGAAGTAATTTCAGTGCCCAGAAATCTGCATTCCCAGAGAGCCCATCTACTCTGAAGTGACGTGGGTTGTTTTAAGAGGCTTGTGGCCATTCGTTAGAATTATGTGAGAAAAGCATCGCAGGTAAGCTACTCTGAAACTTAGATCTTAGTGATGAAACACAAAAGGGGGTGTTTTCATGATGCTGTACTGTCATTCTCTGCATGGACACTGTTCCGTATCTTTACTTCAGACACTCCATCTTCCAGAGCACGCAGGCCAATGTCAGTGGTTACTCTGGACCCACCCACCCTTTCTTATACGCACTCCCTGCTCTGCTTTACATCGTTATTGTTGTTCTAGTCCATCCAAGGGAAACTGTGTGAGGAGAAGTTGACTGCACAGAAGATGATGGAAGAGCTAGAGAGGAAAGAAAGAAACCTCCAGAGATTGTCGAGAAGGCTGCTCGAGGTGAGTAGGAGAAGCGCAGATTCCCTGGGAAGGACAGCACACACCTCCTTCAGTTTCGAGCCGAGGCTTAGTTTGTGTGTATTAATGAGTGGAACACTATTTAAACCGGAGACTTGATTTTGATGTGCCAGGTAATTAGATCCATCAGGTTTCTTAGGAACATTCCAGTAGGAAGACAGACCTTTAATTTTCTCATGTCCTGGAGCACAGCTGCACAGACTTCTCCAGCCAGGTCGGACACTGCGCAGACCACCGCCCCACAGTGAGCAGAGAGGGCATTACCCGAATAGAAATGGAGTTGCCCTGGGCATCTACAGGGAAGGCGTGGGTGAGGGCTCATCACGGGCACAGCTGCCTGTCTCAGCAGCACAAGGGAAGGGCTGCACTGTGTTGAAGAACATGCCTACCATGACTCACTTGGTTCATTTCACCCTTCCATACTTAAGAATGCATTTCCAGAAGTTAGGAACGTTTCCCTAAACAACCGTAATTGTCACCTGATGCCTTGATATTGGATAATGCCTAGGCTGTATCCAGAGTTCCCCACTTCAGATATTTTCAGTACCATTGCAAACAGCATTTAGTCAAGGACTACTTATTTCATTGCATTTGATTGTGGTGTCTTCTAAGCCCTCAGACCCTTTACTTGCATGTGTAAATTGTATTGTTGAAGACTCGTACTTGTAGATTGTCCCACCCCATAGGTTTGTCCAGTTGCTTCCTCCTGGGTGTCATTTACCTTGTTCTTTACCCCCTTGGATTCCTTGAAGCTACACATTACAGCTAAAGGCCTCATGTGATTCATTCATGTTTTAAGGGAGTGAGATACTTTGTGAGTGTCGTTTACGAGATCAGACTGTACAGTGCTGACCATCAGACACTCCATCAAGTTGTACGTTGTCTGGTTGTCACAGGGTCAGGTTGTTCTGGGTCAGACTCCACAGTGTCTGGTTGTCCCTCGACCCGGCACATGAGAGATCTCTCCGGGTGAGGGTGGTGGCAGCCTGACTTCTCCTCTGTAAGCTGCAGTCCCTGGACACGCCAGAAGGGTCTGGATGTGTGAATTACCACAGCCTTTTCCCTCGATGGTTTGGCACCCACTGGTGATCAGTGCCTAAATCATTAGATGATTGAAAAATGTTAATTTCTTCCAATTACATCATCTCTTTACATTTATACTGGCATTTATCTGTAAAAAAACTTCATCATCACTGTAGGCTATCTGATTACCCTAAAATACTGTTCCAGTAGGAAAGCTAATTAAACTTACCTTTAATTAGCAGTTTTCAGAATTAAGAGGTGATAATTTTGGAGCTGCAGGCCGAATTTTGAGTAGTAAATCATGAGTTCATATTGATACTTCCAGTTTAAATTTAACAAATCTTGAGTTATGGAGGGTTTTCCCCTTGATTTTTAAATTTATATCTTCAGAACTCTTAAAACTTGAATTTTTTGGTTCCTATCAACATTAACATAATAACATACTTTTTTCTCAGTAGATAAAAAGTAACCACAAATAATTAATTTTATTTTACTGAATAAGGTGAAAATGACTTAAAGTTCTTTTCATCCTTAGGATAAATATGATTTATAGAAAAATGCACACTTTTTTTTTCCAGTACCAGGGATCGAACTCAGGAGGAGCTTTTACTTGAGAGGCAGGCGCAGTGCCACTGAGATAAATCCCCAGCCCTAGAAAAATGCACACGTAACCAAGATGCTTCTGATGAGAGAAAGTCCAAAACCTGAGATTGTTTGGATTTAATGCTTTTTCTCTTGGGCTTATTCTAGGGGGTGGATGACAAAGAAGAACCAATCCACTGTATAAATGAATATTTTTCTTTTTCTCTCTTCGCCACTTGTGTGCAGTTTGTTTAGAGCACATATAATGTGACACTTGGTAATGGACTTCAGGTCATGGACTCAGGGGAACTGCCATCCTGCAAGGCTTTCACGTGCCCTCCTGTTCTAACGGCTGGTGTTTCTGATCATCGCAGGACTGCAGACAGACGGAAGAGCCCAGCTCTCTGCCGGGTGAGGGCCCAGAAGCAGAGCTGCCAGGGCAGCAGACGGTGCCTCCCAAGCGGCCGCTCTTTGACCTGACAGTGATCGATCAGCTCTTCAGGGAGATGTCCTGTTGCTTGCTCGACCTGAAGGCCCTGTGCAGTATCCTCAATCAGCGGGCCCAGGGCAAAGAGCCCAATCTCTCCTTACTGCTGGGGATCAGGTGTAAGTGCTGGGGACTGGGCCTTACTTTGCGGCTCACCAAGTAGAAGCCGATCCTCATGAACCAGGAGCTCTGCTTGCCTTTCCCTGGGTGCTGTGTTCCCGCCTTCCCTTCTGGAGCTGTGGCTTCTAGGTGTGGCTGGGGTCAGCCCTCCCTGGAATGTACCTCCCTGCGCTTACAAGCGGTGGGTGCCCGGCAGAGTCCTTGGTGTCCTGGGTTTGGTCCAAGGCTGCGTGCCTGGGTGGTGTTAGAAGTGGAAGCAGTGATGTTTCAGTGTGTTTCAGGTGGTGGTTGTGTAGATTAACACATTCCTGCCCAGCAGCAGGTGTCCCGCCAGATGGCTTGGGCCTATGGCCTGTCCCAGGGCTCCAAGGCACAGTCCTTTGGGGACACCCGAGGTTCACTTGTGGGAGGGCAGTGCTTTCACAGCCACTCCTGCCCTGCAGCCCCCGCGCTGCCCCTTCCCTCATGGCACCCGCCGTGCAGGCCTGTGTGAGCCCTCCAGGCCCCAGGTGGGCTGTCCCTCGCTCCTGTGGCTCCGCGGTGATGGCATTGCACACAGGTCTGTGTGGCAGAGCAGAAAGGGGCTCCAGGGAGAGGTGACCGCCAGGTGAGGCGGTGCTTGGAGCAGGGCCGGTCTCACTCCGTCTCCTCCAGAGATCCTGTCCCCCGCGGGCCCAGTGCTGCTCTTGCTCTTAGCATTCAGCAAACCAAGTGCTGTACTTAGCAGTCAGCAGGACGGTGCCTTCCACCGCACAGGTGCGTGTGCAGCACTGAATGCTGAGAGCGTCTGTGCCGGGACTGCAGCTGGGGAGCACGGGCTGGTTTAGTGCGAGCGCTACGGTGTGGCTGGCACTGCGGCTGCCTGGCAGCGGGGCTGGGCAGAGCCATGGCAGGCTCGGGGCAGCGACGGTGTTGTGGAGCTTAGCTCAGAGGCCTGGCCTCTGGGAACAAGAAGCAAGGCCGCCATTGGTGGGTGGCGGAGTGTCTTCTGCTCCACAGTCCCACCCTTCCTGCCAGTCCCTGGGCTCCGAGGAGCAGATCTTACTCCGCGTGTGCATTTGGCCCTGCCAGCTGCCTGCAGGCCACGTGGAAGTCCAGGTCTCCGCCTGGTTCCCAGCTGGCTCTGGCGTTCTGTGCTCTCCGTAAGGACCCTCAGATTCCGCCCTTACGCCTGAGGCCTTGGGTGCCCTCGAGCAGCGCTCCCCAGCCCTGCCATATTCTGTGGTCCTAAGACTCTGCGCTCTCCCACAGAGGTCCACCTGTCCTGCCTGAGGCTGAGGACTCCTGAGTGGAGACGCTGAGCCTGTTAGAGCAGCTGGAGCGTGGCTGCCTTCCTGCCCAAGACCTGCTTCTCAGAGTCGAACTGCAGCCACCTCCCACCCAGCCCAGGTTTTAGCCGATCACACCCTGTCTCTGCTCCGGATCAGCATCCCTCACCCTCCTGCTACGTCACCATCAGATCTTGTTGCACTGCTGACCTTAACTCATGGTCACAGCCTTCGCCTGAGCTGATGTCTCTGTCACCAGGTCCCCTCCTTCCCCAAGCCCATTTCGCCAGGTGATCTGTCTACACCAGGACCTGGTTTCCTACTAGTGAACCTCTCCTGTTTAGATTCTGTCAGCTCTTTTGTTTCCTGCCTCTGTGCCTTCATTCTGCCCTCTTGGCCTACCTGGTGAACCAAGGCCTGTATCTTCCTAAGTGCGGCTTGGTCATTTCCCTGTGGGCATGAGCAGATCCCAGAAGCTGTGCATAGAGCACTGAGAACAAGCCACCGAACTGAGCGCTGCGCGGACTCCTGGGTCATGGGGAACTCCAGAGTTCCCGTTCACGTGTATTAAAATAACAGGTACTGGTGGTTGCCCCCAACACCTCCCGGCTGACTGGAGACAAGAAGAGAGGCTCTGCCTAGTCACTGCCAGGCTTGCTTTGCTGAGGACTTCTGGGGAGCCAGCTGACATGGGTTTCCCTCAGCTGTTCATGCCCTGTGGCCAGCTGCCTGCTCCACCCAAGCTTTTAGGAGTTGTGGAGTCCCTGCAGTCTCTCCATGTATTTTGAAAACTAGTATTTGCATGCCAGTTAAAACCTCACTTTGTGATCATAACAATTAGAATAATTCCTCTGGCTGTACAGTTTTCAGACTTTGTCAGGTGGAAAGAACTGAGGGCTCTGGTTGAGCTTGCAAGAGACATTAGAGGCTGTTTCTTTCACTCTGAATATTGCTATCCAGGAAGCCTGTTGAATTTGTGGGCATCATTATGAAGTTCATACGTTGTAGCTAGCGAAATCTTTAAAGGACCAAGTGGGTAAGATCTATGGTATTTTATATCAGATGGTGCATAATTAATCCAGGCCTCACTAGTATTCGGTATGTAGTGTTATATCTCCATGATGATTAAAGTGAAAATCCACAATGCCTGTTCAAAGAAAAGTGCCCGATATTCTCTCCGTCTTTATTCACACAGCCATGAACTGTTCAGCTGAAGACGTGGAGAATGACCACAGCCCAGAAACCCTCAGTAAGAAGCTGTCTGATGTGTGCCAGCTGCGGAGGGACATTGATGAGCTGAGGACTATAATATCCGACCGCTACGCTCAGGACATGGGGGACAACTGCGTCACCCAGTGACAGTGTGGGTTCCACAGCGGGGACCAGCTGCTGCGCTGTTCTTTGTCTTCTGTAGGAGTCACCACAGGCAGCTGCAGGAAACACGAGGCTACGCGTAGGGATTTCTGTGGATTTGTCTCATTGAGGGGATGTGGGATGTGGGGAGGTTCTGAGGGCTTTCTAATCAGGCAGAAATCAGATTGCCTTTTCAAAGATGTGATGCAGTCTACAGGAAAACATCCATCTTCTGAAACTACTGATTGATTGTAGGGCCACGCTGTGCAGGGCGCCCTTCAGAAAGGGAAGCATCTGTTTACCCCGGTTGTTCTGTCTTGTGTGTGCACCTATGTGTGGGTTCTTATTTGTGTGTGTATGTTTTATTTACAAAACTTCTAAGGATTTCAAGACTCACAGCGCAGAGCTTCTGGTAAAGGCACAGGCCGTCCCCTGTTCCCTCTCGCCGTGTTCGGGATTGCCCAGGGCTGGCCTTCGAGTTCCGCCAGGCGGCAGGCACTGCCGCAGAAGGAGGCGGCCACATGGCGCGTCTCAGCTGTCCCGGGCCGGGCTGTGGTTTGGTGGCTTTTGGTACTGGAGGTGATTCATGTGTTACCAGAGGGCTTTCGTAATTTGAACTAATTTTTTCATGCCCCTTAATATTTCTCATTTTTATTTATTTGTTATATGTATCATTGTAAACAAAGCCTTCTGAGGCCAAGATCATCATTTTGAAAACAGATTGACAATGACTTTGGAACAGTAGTTTATCTCAGTATTGAGTTAACAATTTTGTACCTGTTTTAAAGCTGAAACTACTGTAGGGAGAAGCCAGCTCCTGTTCCTCATCTCGGAACTAACACCAGCACACGGCTGAGCCGAGGGTCCCCACCTCGTGTGAACTCGGCCAGGCCGGCCTGTGTGAGGGTGTGTGTGGTCCCACAGCTCCCCCGCAGCGCTGCCTCGTGTCTTGTGGACGCACTCATGGTGGTCACTGTCCACGCGGCAGGGTGACCTGTGGGTGTCCTGAGGTTTGTTCAGGGTGCGTCCAGGCCTGCTTCCCTCGGCCCGAGGTCCAGGCCAGCCGGACCATGTCCCGGGAAGAGTGTGTCTGGGCACTGGGCTCACTTGGTGTTTAACGTCAGCCCTGGATGACAGGCAGGGCTGTGAATAACTACCAAACCCCTGCGTGCTTTGCCGGGGCTCACATGTGAGGCTGGCTTTCTGCTGAAGTAGGCAGCGTCCCCATCGCCCGTCAGCCACCATGCAGCAGAAACACTTTCCGTCTCCAGACAGCCCGCGTCGCCCTGCTGGGACTTCAGAAATGAAGCACCCTGAACAATAGGGTGGAGGAACGAATTGCATCTGCTCTGCGTCAGCCAGTTCTTCCTTAAACTTCTCCTAGACTTGTAGTTTAGTTTTAGATTTTTGCAGTGGTTGTGTTTTTAAAATGAAGCTATGGTTGTTTGTTTTCATCTATTTTGGATACAGTTTTCTAGCCTAGTTGGGATAAAATAATTTTTTTGTTGTAATAAGTTAGTTTTCTAAAAGTTACAGAATTTAATTCCCTTTTTTTTGGTACCAGGGGTTGAACTCTGGTCCTTGCGCACGCGAGGCAGGTGGAACTGCTGAACTAAGTTCCCGGCCCTTAATTCCCATGCTGAGATAACACTTTTCTGAGGTAGTGAGAAGTGAACAGGCTGCTGCTGCTCCATCCTGGCTTCAGGTCCTGTGCTCTGGTGAGGGGCAGCGGCAGCGCAGGATGGGCTAAACGACTCCAGATCACCGGAGAGAGAGCCTCCCCTCAGGGCTAGGGAGCGAGCTCACATCCCTGGAGGAATTGCAGAGGAATGAAACTAGTGTATTCTATTAGTATTTATTTTTGTTTTCAGAATCTCCCCTTCCCCAAGATCCCATCTTGTGTATAACGGTCGTAGGGTTGGTGTCACATGTGAGCTGGGCGGGCGGCAGCTGTCTGCACAGTAAGGTGAGGCGCCCTCCTGGGTTAGCGGAGCGAGCGCACCGCACCCTCCTCTCAGGCGCTCTGTTCGCTCGCTCCTGGCGTGGAGTGGTCGCCTCCTGGGAGTGCCCCTCGACGTCAGCCTGGTCACTGGCCCGGGTCACTTAGCCTGGGTGACGAGGGACAGTTGTCCCAGTGGAGACCTGGTCACAGGTGTGGGGGCTGTCGTTCCCTCCAGTGCCGACAGCAGGATAAGCTGATAATTAAACTGTTAATGAATTCTCAGTGGCTCTGATTTTAAAAAGTATTGAATTTATTTTTAAAAAGTGTAGCCCCTTTTGTATTTTAAAGAGGATTCACTACTTAATGGTAGCAGTATTATATCCTATGGACATTTATTTTGGTGTGACAAGTTACTACACTGAATTTACCACTTTAGATAGCTTGGAGACAATCTCAAGGCTGGAAGATGTTACTGAGATGAGTACTGTGCGTTCTGACTTTCCTGGGCTTGGGGGAAGCTGTGTCGGGCGAGACTCGGCAGGGCACCAGCGCTGTTGAAGGCACTGAGGGCCAGCAGCAAAGCCCGGGTGCTGGCTTCGCTGTGCCCTTCCTTCCGCATGCTCCCGTCGCCGGCGTGGGCCTAACCAGCCCGCTTCTCACAGCACAAGGAGGTCCCTTCCGTGTTCACAGATGAGAGACTTCTTACTTTGTGTAAAGAGTAAACTTTCCAGCTTTGCCCCAGAAAGCCATCGGTGGTATTTGCCATATGATTACATCATACATCTAATCATGAAGGGAAAATGTTTTGAGATTTTTCTATTTCAGAGAAATATGAATATATAGGAAGTAGTTTCAGACCAGGAAGGCTAACACAGCGCTGCGGCTGTGTACCCAGAGAACCTCCCGTGCCTTTGGCCTGCAGTGAGCATCTGTTGCTGTTGCACAGGGGCCCTGGGAGTGTGGTGCCCGCTCCCCTAGTTCTCGTGCGCACACCTGAGCAAGGGTGGCTCTGACCGAGGAGCGGTGCCGTCACGGAGGGTCCCTTAGTGGGGCTCAGGCGCGTGTCTGGGGGCCCGGCCTTCCCCGTGGAGCGTGGGCTCCGTGGGAGTGTGTCCGAGTGTGTCTACGTGTGGGTAAGTGTGTACATACAGATAATATATGCGTTGTTATTTAATTGTGTGAGCGTGAGCTTCCGGAAGCCGTGTGGTGCTCAGTGGCTGCGAGAAGCAGAGGGCGCAGTCGGCGGCGGCTGGTGCTCTGCCCCCGGTTCGGGCTCTGAGCCACCCGCGATACCTCACGTGTAAATAGTGTCCAGGACCCAGATGAGAGGCAGTCGCTGTGAAGGGGAACGGGAGCCGCTGGCTGGCTTTTGCCTTCTGCCCTGTCATGTTTGCCTCCCTTTTTTGTAAAGGGGTTGTTTCTGTTTTGTAATAGTGTTTACAGCTAGAATTTTGAATGCCAAAGTTCTATTTATTAAGAAAAAAAGTTTTCAATGTTAATGCCTAGTATTTTTCCACTGGACTATTGTTTGTTGATAATGGAATTTGTATTTACAGAGAAATAAATTTTTTATAAAAAGACATGTCTTCCTGGTGCGTACTGTTAATATGAGTGTATTTGAAATGCTGGGCTCTCTCCTGAGCCCCTAATGAAATGAACGCTGACCTGACTTTGGGTGAAAGTTTTCTGTGAATACTGCAGGGTATCTTGGCCTCCAGTGAGGAGACTTCTGCATCTCAGTCTGCCTCAGTTTTATTTTCAGTTACAGAAGAGCTTTTCTCAGGCCTTCCCGTGAAGAGTGAGGACTTTCTGACAGGTGCCACACATACAAAGTCATGCCTGTGTACACCTTAGCTAAGGGTGCTGGGAGCCCCTTGTGAAGTCATAAATTATATCGAAACCAGAAGTCGCCTCTCTAGTTTTCCAGCAGTGTTGCTAAGTGTTGGGGCGAATGATTCGGTGTCCTTTCCTGGGATGGAATACCGAGAGAAGCACCTTAGAGGAGGGAGGGTCTTTGGGCTCACAATTTCTGGGGCCTCAGTCCATGGGTATCTGGCTCCATGGTTTTGGGCCTGTGGTGAGCAGTGAAGGCGTGGTGGTCTCAGAGTGGGAAGTAGAGGAAGGATGTGTCCCTGAAGGCACAGCTGCACACCAGCCTCATCTCGTCCCCACCTCCTGGAAGCCATTCAGCTGTGGGCAGCCGTCACCTCTGCACACGACTGTGCTGTGTGCTGAGGAAGGCAGGTCTGAGGTCTGCATTAAAGGGAAACAGCTTCAATTGAATGAGCAAATGCAGTCGCATCTGACTTGTGATTCTGAGAACATGCAGTAGGACAGGCCTGGAGAAAAATGATTTGAGCAGTACAGCTGCAGCCCTTCCAAACCAGCAGGCAAGGAAATCTCATTTTTCATTTCAACGCTCACCATTCAGTCATAGGAGTGGTTAGAGTTTAAGGATCCGCAGTGATTAGAACAACACCAGAAAGGCTTCTATACCCTCACAGCCCGCATCGAGGCACTGGCTGAGTAAAAGGACCCTGGTAACCATTAGTTTCTAACTGTCCTGGTGCTGAGTGCTGTTGTCCCTCCTCAGTCAAGCATGAAGCGGGAAGAGTCCGCATCTTGGTGAAGCCCAGGAACTCAGGAGGCAGTGCTGGGGCCGAGCTGGTGGCCACACCCTCACCAGACACTGATGGCCTCCTATCGCCTGCTCCTGAACCCCTTCCCGTGGCGTTGCTGTTCAGGGAGCTGTGCCTTCATCTGGGAGCCTTTTCCAGTGACTGCTCCTCTGCAGGTCCCATGTGTTCGGGCTTCCTGTTGCCTCGGGAACACAATGCACATCTCACTGGGGCCACGTGCAGTCACAGTGGGCTGATGGCAAGGTGCTGGACGGGGGCCATGCCTGGTGAAGAGAATCCTGCCTCTTCCAGCTTCTCCGGGCTCTCAGGTTCGTCGTGTGGGGCTCTATTTCCATCTTCAAAGCCGAGATGCAGACCGAGTCCCCTTGCCATTTCCTAGGCTATCTGCCTGCATCTGTCTACCTTAAGAGCCCTGTCATTACCGTGGCTACACGGGGAGCCCAGGATGATCTCCACATCTCTGATGGGTGGCCAGCTTTCCCCTGCCATAACAAGTGCAGTGGCCTCGGTTCACGAATGCTTTTGTTTGCAGCAATTTGGTTCACAAACGAGCATTTGGCAAAATTTTGTTTTCATTTGCAAACTCCGCATTGGGTGATAAGCAGAACCTCAGCCATATGTGGCTGTCTTCCCGGGATCTTAGAACAGATGAAGTCCACGAATGGAGGAACTACTGTACCTGACACCGAGAGGAGGTTTATTTGCACTCATGGTTGTGGGGTTTCCATCCAGCATAGGTCTGGAATGCTGTCCCCTCCGAAGCACATCCCCACCAGTGGAGACCTTGGCCTGCTCCCTCAATGCTCCTCCACGCCCAGTGGCATCCAGCCGTGGCTCAGGCCTGCAAGGGAGGCTTCAGAGCTGACCAGTGGTAAGGTCCGCTCCACCTCAGCCCGACCTGTGGTCGAACAGCATCCTAGGTCCAGACAACCCTGGGGGCCTCGCTCCGTCTTCCGCACTAACACCACCCGTGGCCAGCGCTGAGAAATGTTTACACCTGTTCTGGGCACTTCATTTCTACTTCCCTTGCTCCATCTAACAAACCCAAATTACTACAAATCAGAAGTCATTTGAGGGTTTGTAGACAATTGACTTGGAGCCTATAAACTATCGTTGATGATTCAAGTATTTACCCCAAGACTGGAGAGTGTTTCTAGGAGAAAAGCATTTACATCTTTGCAAAGAGTTTCCTAATTTTTATAACCTTGCTGTTTGATGAGAACCTGTATGGGGCAGTGGCAGGGCCATGGCCAGACAGAGCCCGGAACAGCCGTCAAGTTGGAGCAGCTCTCAAAAGGGAGCCCCTTGCTTTCCATGTGATAGAAGGGACTTAGAACAAAGACCCCCAATGTGCGGCCCAGACTCCCTACCTTACTCCAAGGTAGCCATCTATCTACTTAGTTCCTTTCCTTTTCCCAATGAAATGGTTTGCTTCCCCATGTCTCTTCCCTTTCCAATAAAGTGATTTTGTTTCTCCTTCTAAACTCATATTTCTAATTCTTTTATTGATGTAGGGCTTTTTTGTGTGTAAATCCTAGGTAAAAGTCTGCCCTCATACGAGGAGAATGGACAACACCCAGGCCTGACCCCAGCAGATGGGCACAGGCCTGGGTCCTGCCCCCGAGGGCCAGGCTGCCAAGAAGACGTCCGCTGGGGCTGCAGGGCAGGGCCGTAGCTCAGGGGCCTGGGCACGTGCCCTGGTCCCTCTATCTGGACCCCTCACAGCTGGGCACGGGCAGCGCCTTGCCTAGCAGGAGAGCGGGGGCCGGGCATGGACATGGCTGGGAGCTTGTGGTGAGCTCAGGGAGCTACAGGCTCCACAGCTCCGCACCAAGCACTCTGCTGAGCTTTGTGGAGGCAGGAGGGAGTCACGGGAGGGAAGTCCTGGAGGGACGGGGCACCGCCGGCCCTCCCAACGCAGTTAGACAGGGCTACAGAATTGGGGCTCACCTCCGTCCATAAGCAGCCCACACGGGCCGAGGTGGAAGGAAGGGCATCTGGGCCCTTCCCTGCAGGATTTGTTGGTTTTCTGTTTTTGTTTGTGTTACAGGAGATTGAACCTGGGGCCTCACACATTCTAGGTGAGCACTTTACCTCATAGTACCTCTTCAGCCCTGTTAAAAAGTTGTATTTTGAGATCTGGTCTTGCTAAGTTGCCCCAGCTAGTCTTGAACTCACTGTCGTCCTGCCTCAGCCTCCCCAGTAGCCATTGTGTGAGTTTCTATCATTGAAAATGTTGAATTTTGTTAAATCTGCATCGAGATGAATGTGTATTTTTTTCTTCATCCTGTTTACAATTATTTGAATTTTGTTTTGAACCACCCTGACTCTCTAGGATTAAATCTCCCTTGGGGGGGTGTGACCCTTTCAGAGTCACACGTTTGGTATACTGATCTTTTATGGAGATCCCTGCAGGCTCTTTTTAGGACATTTCTCTCTTGTCTTTTAGCAATGTTTCTGTCAGTCGCCTATGAGTGGCTTTGTCTCTGTTTTTTCCTGGATACAGCTTTGTCTGTGGCTTGATGTCTGTCCTTCATTAGCTTTGGAAATTTCTTAGCTATCAGTCCTTTACACATCGTTTCAGCCTCACTTTCCCCTCTCACTCTGTGACCCAGGTCATGTATCTCCTCCTCTTACCTGTTTCTTGCTGCTCTTTTGATCTTATTCTCTGTATTTTGAACATTCTGACATCTTCTGATTCCTTATTTCTTTTTAGCTGTATTTAGTTATGTGTGAAACTTATCCATTGTGTTAGTATTTAAATCTTTCAGTTCCAGAGTTTCCAGTTGGCTCTTCCCTAAAAATTTCAGTTTCTTGCTGCATGTCAATTTTGTCATTTAGTTCTTGGGAGTAAATACTTTTCAGCCCATCATCTGACCCCCCCGACCTCACCCCGGGTCGGTCTGTTTCTATTGTCTTTTATCTTTCGCTTTTTACAATCTAAGTGTTGGCTCCGACTGTAGGAACCACCCTATAGGCCGAGTTCGAACCTGACAAATGGGTGGCGAAGGTGAAAAATAAGGAGACACAGAATCTGTTAAAATCTGTCAGGGGGCTCCTGTCTCCCTTGGACAGAGAGCCCCATGTGACTGGCGCCCCGGAGCAGTTACGTTCCACAGGCCTTGTCTGTCTCCCACCCTCCACGGTCCTTTCTGGGTAGGCAGCTGACCCTCGGGTGTTTACTTCTCCCTGCAGCGTGTCAGCAGCGTGCACGGCCTCTTTCTACTCAGTGCTCACCCGGGAGGCGGTTAGGCCTCACTCCTCCCATCTGATCTGCACAGCAGAAGCCTGGTTGCTGTTCGTGGACGCAGGGCAGAACCCAGGAAAATACCGCAGGCGTCCTGTGAGGCCTCAGTCAGGCCCTGTTTCTCGGGATGGTGCTGGCGTTTGCTTGCAGAACGGCTGGGGGCCCCGGGAGCCCAGTTTGCCTTCACAGCTCAGGGTTCCATAGATTTAGAGCAGGAGACGGAACCTGGGAGTTGGCAGATGCCTTCTCCCCGCAGCCCGGGC